GCAAACAAGGGCTAGCCTACCCCGTTTGCCTGACACAGAGTCACACCCGCGTGGTGAACAGGGCAGGGAGGCAGGGAGGCAGCCTGGCAGGGACACGCTAATTCCTGACATGACCAGAGAAGTATCACCTCTTCAACTTCTACATGCAGTTGGAGATCACAACTCCCAGAAAAAATATAGACAACAGGAGTCTGACAGTGGCACACCGTATCTTGAAAAGTGACCCCAAAAGTAGAGCTCTGAGGGTATGGAAATAGGATGAGTCTGGCAGCGGTGCATGCTGGGGCCGTTTTAGCGTGTCGGAGAACCAGGTAGCCAAAAGAGCCAAAAGCAGGTCACCCAGCTCAGTAGAGTATGGGAGATGCGATGCCTACAGCCCACCGGGAACTGAGTAAGTAGTGTGCCTGAACCTGACCTCAAGCTATAGCTCTGAGAAGGGATTAACCGGGGACCAGTGACCACAGAGCGAAAGATGACCAGGCACACTGTGCGGACAGATCCTTCACTGCTATATTCAGAGTAAGAGTATATAGTTGGTAATGATTTATTGTAGAAAATAAAGATTTTAGAAAAGCTCTATTATGGAAAACATTAGTTCTATGAACAGAAGTGAATAAAGCCAAAAGTAGACAAAAAGGACAATGGGATGTGGAAAAGGGAAAAGAAGATGAAAAGCAACTGTACAACTGCTTAGGGTTAATAGGTTTGATGTCAAGATCTGGGTTTGAATTCTGGCTCTTCCATCTGTTAGAGAGTGGCGTCCCTAGTCCATTTGAGCTGCTATAGCAAAATACCACAGGCTGGTTAGCTTACAAACAGCAGAACAGTTCTCACGGTTCTAGAGGTGGGAAGTGCAAGATCAAGACCAGCATGGTTGCCTTTTGGTGAGGACCTCTTCCTGGTTCATAGCCAATGCCTTCCTGCTGTGTCCTCATATGGAAGGGGGGTGCTAGGCATTCTCTCTGGGGTCTCTTATAAAAGTACCTCATTCATGAGGGCTCCACCCTCAGACGTAGCATCTCCTAGAGGCCCCACCTTCTAACACCTCGTATTGGATGTCAGCATTCCAACATGTGAATTTGGGGTGACCAAAAACATCCAGACCATAGCAGTGGTCTTGGGGAAATCACGTAACCTCTTTAATTTTGATTTCTTTGTTCATAAAATGGGGATAAAGAAACCTATTTCACAAAGTTACGTTGAGCTTTAACGCCTACGGCATGACCAGTGAAGAGAAAGTACAGGCAGAGCACGAACACTGGGCCTGGGCATGGAGTGGATATTTCTTAAACAGCAGCCATTTTTATCACCAACGACCTCAGGAGAAAAGAGACCTCACTGAGACAAACACAGGAACTAAACGCAAAGTCAACACTAACCTACATCAGAGACGTTGAAGAGCAGGATTAAAACTGCAAAACATCTAACTGGTAATATAGAGGTGCTCCAGAAGGCCGAGAAAAAGGACAAAAAGCTGAAAAGTTTGAGAGAAATGCTGAGTCAGTGATTCAACGCGCTAATTAAAGATATTTTTGAGAAATAAATCAGGCAGAACAAAAGCAATAAACTAAAATATGAACAAGGCAAACTTCCTGGAGTGAAAAATAATCTCGGCAGGCAGATCAAAGGGCTCACTGCATTTCAGGCAAAATTAATTTTAAAATATCTTAAAGACCCACACCTAGATATAATTCAGCAAAACATCTAAACTATGGAGATAATTAAAAGAAAAAAGCCTTAGAAAATGTTTCAGGGACCAGCTTAACCAGAAAGATCTTTCAAACAATCTGTAAACTGTTCCAGAGCATAGGAAAAAAAATGGAAAAACCATCCAAACTATTTTCTTTATCCTCACCCAAGGACATGCTCGTTGATTTTAGAGAGAGGAGAAGGGAGGGAGAGACCAGGAATGTCGATGTGAGGGAAAAACGTCGATTGGTAGCCTCTTGTATGTGTCCCCAAGGACCACACCTGCCACCTAGGCATGTACCGTGACTGGGAATTGAACCCACAAACTTTTGGTGTATGGGACAATGCTCCAAACCACCTGAGCCACACGGGTGAGGGCCCGAACTGGTGTATTATGTGAGGATAACCAAACAACAAAACCCAACAGAGAGAAAAAAGCCACCAACCCTACTTTTCATTTCTGAATTAATACCAAAATCCTAAATAAATCTCTAGCAAATTGAATTCAGCAGAATAATAAAAATGCATATACATGATCAAGTTGGATTTAGCCCAACAAGCAAAGATGGTCCAAGATTAATATATCTATTAATAAATCATAGTGTCAGAATATGAGACAACCTTTTTATAAGGTAATCCCCATTTTCCTAGTAAAAAGCACCCCAAACCATTTTTGCTGACTTGACTAAATATAATACAGATGTTTATGAAATAGTGAAACATCTATTTAATAGTTATATGTACATATTTGAAATCCGATAATAAAGATCTTACACCATAGCTTTCCCCCCCCTTTCACACATCACAAAAGAATTTTATCCACCTCTTCCCATGCCTGCTTCACACCAGTACCTGCTGGCACAGGCGCCACCATGAGACGTTTCGGTTTCCCAGAGCGGCCGTCCTCACTTCTGTCTGAGCTCCTCTGGGCTGTGTGTGACCCACGCGCGCGAGCCCACCTTTGCTCCAGGAAATCAGTTACCTCTAAATTGCGTCACTGCTGTCTGTGCGACACAGACTTGTTTGGTAAACTCATCACTTCCAATTCTTATGATTGTGAGGTCACTTCCCAGGAATACTTACTAACTCAGTATTAAATTTCTTGGCCTCTTTTTAAAAAATTTTATTTATCTTTAGATAAATAAAGGGAAGGGGAGAGGGAGAGATATCAATGTATGGTTGCCTCTTGTGTGTCCCCTGCTGGGAACTGGTCTGCAACCCAGGCATGTGCCCTGATTGGGAATCGAACCATGGTTGTTTGGTTCCCAGACCCACACTCAATCAACTGAACTACACCAGCCAGGGCTCTTGGCCTCTTTTTTATTGATTTTTTTAGTGAGTAATCTCCATAAACTCTCAATACCAACACTGATCAATGTGCTTTTACCAGGCTGTTCAAAACAAAGCCGAGTGAGAACGACTCTCCGAATACGAGAGATCCTGTAAGGACTTGTGTATAAGATGTCTCCCTCTTCTCTGAATAGTAAGTCCAGGGGAAAAAAACAAATGTTATCTTATAGCAACCCCCTTCACCACAGGGCGCATTTGGAAAACTAGAATGTGTGCACAGCACTACAGCAGCCCCACGAGGCTGCTCAGAGCGGCCCCCGGCCTGCCTGCCAGGCTCCTGGACAGCTCGGCACTGCAGCACACCGTGGAGAGAGCTCTGCTATACCATGAGGTCTGTTCAGAGCACCCAGGTCATCACTGAGGTGACCTTCAGGGGCAGGAGACTCCAGTGGAGCCAGAAAGGGTGATGCCTGGCTCTGCCTGGCTGCGTGACCTTCAGCAAGTTAACTCGGCCTCTGTGTACTTCGGTTCTCACATCTTGAAAAGAACTGCCGGGAGGATTAATTGAACTAATTCATGTAGAGCACTCAGAACTATGTCCTGCTCGTAGTGAGCACACAATACGTGCTAGATTCAAGAACCATGCCTGATTAAACGCAAAACAACCCCCTGAGTGGACTAACCAGATTAATTCCTCCACATGCCATTTCACACCTTTTACACAGTCACTTTCCAGTAAAACACACCAGATCACAAACCTCGACCCTATCGTATAGTTCCCTGTTAAATTTTCAGGTTTTGGCCAAGCAACACTAGAGATCTGAGAAAGCCTCCTTCATGAAAGGCAGACCAAAGCAGAGATACAAGCAACATTAGAAGGAAGAAAGACAATGCTGGGAGTAACAGCAAACTTAAAAATACAGGTATGTATACACACACACATACACATACACACACAATGACTAAGAGCACAGGCTCTGGAGAAATACATCGTTACATCCATTAAGTGAAAACAAAACTTCCCAAAAAAAGAATTATTGAAAAACAAGAAGGAATTTTTGATAATTAAAAACAATTGTAGTTGCAATTAATTCAATAGAATAGTTACAAAACAATAATAAGGAAACTCCCCAAGTAGAAGCAAAATCTTAAAAAATCGGAGAGTAAAAAAATGACAAAACTAGAGGATTAATCCAACATCCAAAGAACAGGTGTTTTGTAACAGCAGACTAGGAGAAAGGTGGGATGGAGGGCCAAACAATTCTGAAATAAATAATACGAGAAAATTTCCCATGAAAAAGGGTCTGCAATTTCAGATAGAAAGTGCTGAGTATTCAACATAATGAACAAACCAAGATGACACCCAAAGCACACTGTCAGGCAATTACAGAAAACTGTCAAATGCGGGGAGTGGGGTGGGGATCACGTATACAACAGATTAGAAGTCAGAATGACATCACCAAAATAAAAACGATTTTCATAAAATTTCTTCTTTTTTCCCCTACAATCAACACGGAATACTTTGACTGTCATAAAACTTTAATATTAAAAAATCCATACTTGGAGACACCAACCTAGATTTAAATGGCTACATTTCTTATCTGTCTTCACAATGTTACAATCTGCCTCTTTGCACTGATACAGAGACCCCCCGCCCCGCCGGGGTCAGCAACAGTCCTATTGATAGAGCCTGGTCGTTCACATTGCTGAGAACAAGCCAGTTCGAGGATACACTGCCCGGATGCCCTGCATACGAATGATGCCCACTCATACTTTCTCAGAAAGCACTTGTTTTCAAGCATACTCCTCAAACATTCTGATATTTGAAGAAAGGGGGGGGAAGCCCATAATTCTTTTTCTTTAGACACATCTTTGTCTGCATTATGATCGTATCTCCACTCCTGCAGTTAGCATCTATTTTAATAAGGAACTGCTAAGTGCTCCAATCTGTCTTCATTCCATTTATCGAACACTATGTCCTAAGCTTTGTCAAGGGATGATTTTCTTATTGACAGGCTTACCTGTAGAGAAGATGAACACTGTGTTGTTCCAGAGCCCACGGCTTTTTAAGGCTGTGGTGACATTTCCCACTGCTTCATCCATAAGGGACACCATCCCTGCATAGTGATGCCTGTTCTTGTCTTGGATGAAGTCATAAGGTCTCAGATATTCCTCGGGGACCTGGAGGGGCTCGTGGACAGACTGCAGAGCGAGGTAGAGAAACAGAGGCTGGAAAGAGAGTGTGTGCAAATCAGTCAAGAGGGCGTGGAAACATAAAATATATAAAGGTCCACATTTATCAGTTAACCAGAGTAGTATCAAGATAACCCACAAAATGGGTTAAAATACTTGTAAATCATATACCTGATAAGGGACTTGGATCAAGAACATTTAAAGAACTCTTACAACTCCATAATAAAGGACAATTAGCCCAATTACAAAATGGGAAAAGAATCTGACTATACATTTTTCCAAAGAAGATATGCAAATGGCCAAAGCACATGAAAAGATGCTCGAGATCATTAGTCATTAAGGAAGTTTGAATCAAAACCATTCTGAGATACTACTTCACACCTTCTAGGAGGTCAGAATACAAAAGCCGGAAAATAGTAAGTGTGGGTGAGGATGCAGGTAAAATGGTGCCGCCAGTTTAAGAAACGGTTTGGCAGTTCCTGAAATCGGTAAGCAGGGAGTTACCACATGGCCCAGCATTTCAGTTCCTGGAAAATGAAAGCTTACAGCCACACAAAAACTTGTACATGGATGCTCATAGCAACATTATTCATTATAGTCAAAAAGTAAAAACAACCCGAATGTCCACCAGTTCATAATAGGTAAACAAAATGGTGTGTTTGCGGTAATATACAATGGGAAAAATATTACCAGCCATAAGTAAGGATTGAAGTACTAACATACGTACAATATAAATGAACCTTGAAAACCTCCTGCTAATAAGTAAAAGCAGCCAGTCACAATAGACCACATACAGTATGATTCCATTTATATAAAGTGTCCAGAGAGGCAAATAACTGTGGATACAGAGCACAGATCAGGGGTTGCCTAGAGCTGCAGGGAACTGGGGAGCAGGATGGGCACAAAGTTTCCTTTTGTGGTGATGAGACTGTTTTAAACTTAGACTGTGAAAGTTGTTTAACTCTGAAGTTATTATTGAATTGTATACTTCAAGGGGTATTGAATTTTGGGGTATGGAAATTATGCCTTAATAAAGATGTTAAAGATGTAACAAAAGACACAAGATAAAAGATTAAAAATAAAAGCCTGAATTCTAAAATAGCCAAGAAGGCTCTGATCCAAACAAGTAATTATAATATCAACCATAACAACTGTATATTCGATGTCTATGTGCTAGATACCATAAAGTTCACATACTCCATTCCATTTCATTAAATACTCAAAACCACTCTGTGTTACATTCATTTTACGGATAAGGTAACTGAGGCTTAGAAAGGTTACATGACTTGCCCAAGTTCATCCTAAATGCAGAGCGATTTCCTGGTGGAAACCCCACTACTATAGCGTGGCTATGTCAACAGGCGCTTTAACTTTTTGCTTTATCTGGAAAATAGGTGCACACCTTTTAGGAGAGGGTTAGAGGCTCTTGATGTTTTTATGAGAAAACAAGTGAATACCATGCTTTGTTAGTTTTGATCTAGGACCACACGTAAGGCCAATTTAATTCCTGGAAACCAAGGAGTGTGACACATTGTTCTGTGCCGCCTCCACCCTTCACAGCATCCAGCGCGAGTGGTACTCCAGGTCGGCCTCTCCCTTTAACGAACCTTTCTGAGGGCACTGTCTTCTTCGTGCTTCTACAGCATTTGGTAATGAGTTGAAATGCCTCAAAAGCCAACTACTTCAATCCAAGAATAAATATGTAATTCTGTTCAGGTATTTAAATCTTATAAATGGATGAGAAAAAGAAAGCAGACTGGGGATGGGTGTCTCATATTTCATTCTCCATTGTTCATAAATTGTTTGGAATTATCTATACTATATCCCTGTGATAGAGTGTGGAGCACACACATATAGAACTCAGAGACACCCAAAAGGTTCTTTGTAGTTCAGATCTTAGGCAGTTAGAAACACTTCTCCCCCCAAATCAAAATGCTAAATAGAAATAGCTGTTGAATATCAAAGTCATGTCTTTAAAACCTATTTAACTAAAGACCTAGGTGATGGGATGAAAACCATGACAATGTAGAACCTGTGCCTCATCCGTACATTATTTCTGTGGGAAAACATTCCAAGTTCCAGCCACAAAGGCCAAAATCAAAAGCCCTGACGCTATGTTAGCTCTGCCTCTGCTCCCCCCTCCACATTCACTTCCTGCTCCAGCCATGAGTCAGTCACATGGAAACCCCTGTGTTCCTCCAGACCCTGGCGCAGGGAGTCCCCTTGGGCGCTCCGTCCATCCAGGTGGTGAGGAGGAACACTGGGCTGAGATGTTGGGAGGGGAAAGGATGCGGAGCGGCTTCAGTGACCCGCCCGGCAATGAGGGCCTGTGGTGGGAGCCACCCTCTGGCTCTTCAGCCCTAGACTAAGCCATCCCTGGCCACCAGTCAAGGTCTAGAGAGGATTAAAAATTGGAAAGCTACAACAATTTGTTCCCCACACGAAGTTTTAAAAATCAGAAAACATCACCCAAAAAATCTGTTTTGTTTTGTCTTGTTTTAATTTTCTCAAAACATCAGAACTTCTGACAACCCCATACCCACACCCCACCTGGAAATAAACAGCTGGAGTATGAGAATCAGAGACCTCTCAAAGCTCTCCACTTTTCTGGTCTCCCGATGGGGCCATCTGAGTGGCTTTCCTTACTTAGGGGGGCGGCCCGACCCTTTCAAACATGAGAGCTTGTGCCTCTGGTCCGCACTTTCTACAGTGGGCAGGGGTGGAGGAATGAGGAGGGAACCTCACTGCTTAAAAAGATGTGCTCATCCGGGTCATTACTGGCAACACAGCAACCCACGTGGTGGGTGAAGGACAGAAAGGGGCAAGTGATTCCTAGAGGCAATGACCGTGGAGAGCAGGGAAGAGTTCTTACAACCATGCCAGGGAAATACAGGATGATTCTGGGACCATCACTAGAGGGCCTTACCCACATTCAGTATAGAAATTATTCTAATCACTTCGTTAAATAGAACAAAAATTTTCCTGAAAATCTTTCCAATAATTATTCCTTAGTGGCTAAGGGCATGGTTGTCACTTCTGAGGGGTTAAAATGATGAAACTACAGCAACTGCCCCCCTTCCCAGGGTCAGGCTTCTGAGAAGGAGCATGACCGAGAGGAAGAAGTGGAAACCACCCCTGTGGACGCGGCCCAGCCTGTCTCGTGACTGTCCCAGGCCATCACAGGCTTTGCATGACTGCTGAGCAGACCCTAATCACTTACCCTATTTAGGAATAGGGGAACACTACCTGAATAGCTAAATAAAGTATTCCTTGAACAAAGCAACTCCTCTTTCTTCCTGTTTCATCAGCAGTAACCCAAGCTCACTTCCTGTAGGGTAAATAGCCTTACCTGACCCAGCATGGCTTTGGTCCCCAGGAGGCAGAATGATGTATAGTATAGCAGCCCATTTAAGGAGGTCAGGACCATTGCAACACAGTTTAGAGTATTTCCATTCAGTATGGTAAGAATAAAGTTTTAGAATTCACTAGGTGAATTTTATTCATGAAGCAACTCATTGCCCAACAGTGCTAAATGTGAGGCATTTCTATACTGTTTTTAAATTTAAAAAATTTTAATAGAGTACTGTTCTTAGTACTACATGGTGGCCCAGTGGAAAAACAATTAACTAGGGCTCTGAGGGTCTCCAACCACAACCAGGACCCCACCTACAGCCACCAGTCGTGGGGCCCACCCAGTGGATGTGCCTCTGCTGGCCCAAACCAAGCAGCCACCATCCTGGGGATGAGTTATTATTTCACTGTCTATGGACTTGAGGCCGAACCCCATCATGCCTTGGCTTTTAGAGACCTGAGGGTACTTCTGACCTTGCTGACATTCGGACTCGAAACACTGAAGTCCTGGACCCAACCTGAACTTCACTGATCTTCGGGTTTACGCTGCACCCTGATCTCTCCCTTGTTCTTTGCTGGGTCCAGGCCCCTGCCCTGACCAACCCAGTCACAGCTGTCCCCTTCACACCAACCCTAACTGCACCCTTCCAGGTTTCTTAGGACTAGACAGGTGAATCCTAGATGTGAATCATAACCAAATGTTTAAATATTACATAAAAAGTATGACATTATTACTTAAAAGTTATTAGCACGTTAATAAGATGCTAGGGGTTCGTTTCCTTTCCTTATGTCTATTATTGTACTCTAAATATCCTTGCCATGCTAAGAAACTATCTCAGTGAGGAAGAAAGTCTTATTTTCATTTCTTTAGGATATTTTCCTCACTTAAAGAATTAATTTTAAAAAGCATATGCTATGTTTTTAAATTGTTATTCTATCTTTGACTTCCAAATTAAGACATTCCTTTCTGAATTGTATGAGGGAAAGTAAGACTCTACCACAAGACATTTGCATTTGCTTTAAGAAGCTTCTAGTAGATCAGATGTGTGAGAAAATACTTATTTTTATTCTGCAAAGTGTTGGGGGGCGCTATTTTTACCAAAAGGTATTTTAAGAATATGTCACTTCCACACTGTAGTGTTAGTACCAAGGGAATTATCCTGTAGAGAAAGAGAGAGGGCACTGCCTCCCCACACATGGGCGCTGGTTATCAGCAGACTCTCCCGGTCTAGCACCAACCACATTCCTGTTGCAAAATAGCTCCATATGCCTTTTCCCCTCAAGTGCTCTTTAAAATAGGGATAACTTTTAACTTAGCTGGTGGATTCGTGCGAATTTCTTTAATGATTTCCATCCTAGGACAAGTTGCCTATGTTACAGTGTATACATACAACACTTCAGAAATTAGCGCAGAATAAGATTCAGAGTGGGGGGGAGTAGAAGAGGGTAAAGGGGGGATAAATGGTGATGGAAGGAGACTTGACTTGGGGTGGTGAACACACAATACAGTGTACAGATGACGTATTAGAGAACTGAACATCTGAAACCTGTATCGTTTTTTTAACCAAGTCACTCCAATAAATTCAATCTAAAAAAAAGACCCCTTCCCCCCCGAAACAAAGACTCAACATTGGGTTAAAATGGTAAGAGCAGCTTCTGGAACTGGGGCGCCACACTGCTGCACTGAGAACTGAAATGTAAACATCTGCACTCCCTATTGTAAACCAACTCTCTGGGGTATCACCTGGCTATACTGACTACCTCATTCAATTATGTCTATGCTTGAAACTTCACTCTGAGGATGCTGGGGATGCTGGGTACTGCTTCAGAATACTTCAGACACTGTAGGGAAATGACCACCCTCTCATCTGGCAATTTCCACGTTACCTCAGCAGCACCAAACACTGGTAACCCTAGTTTGGGTGACTTGTGAGCCCCAGGGCCTACAATTTCCCTCAGTTCCGGTGCTTGCCACACCATACCAGTGAAGGCAGCCCACCCACGAAGAACTATTTCACCCCAGCTGCTTCCTCTAATCCACTTAATGTTAGGGGGCACTGTGAGAGAACACTCTATTGTTCCTTAATGGGAACTAATTTTTATTGTAGGCATATTATAGTTACAGGGTTACATTGTGAACCTTTAAGAAAGGCCATTGGCTTCTGCTTTCAATCTGTGTTTGAGGGGAGTCAATACTGGCTGCACATCACACTCGCTGGTGGGAGGTGGGGGTGGAAGGGTAATTAAATACCAACCACAGGGTCCCACCCCAGACCCATAAATCACAGCTTTTGGAACTGGTATTTCTTTTGGAACAGACTTTCCAGATAACCCCATCCACTGTCAGGATGACTCATACATGGGGCCTAATGACCTCTGGTCTCGGACAGTAACCGTGAGTCGGGAGTGCACTCAGCTCCAGAGTCAAACAGTGTGGGTTTAAAATGCGATTCTGAGTCTCAATAGCTCTGTAACCTTGAACAAGTTACTACTTAACTTCACTAGGCCAGTTTGCGTATCCGTAAAATGGTACCTACCTCAAAAAACAGGATAGAACCATAGGTCTGTTAAGACCTTATCTTGTCTTTTGGGTTTTTAACTGCATCATAAAATACCAAGTATACAGAAAGAAACTGAAATTTTAAGTCTACTACCTAGAAGTTACCCTAGAAGTTACCTTTCCAAGTGTATTTGAATATTGGTGTAGCTCTAGATTTAAAACCTGTGTATGTTGACATATTTGAGAGAATGGCCCAATTTCCTCCATGTTCCACAGCAACAGGCATAACAGCCAAGGCGTCAGCATGTAAGAGGGCTGAAAAGCTACAAGGGGGGCAAAGTTGAGGACGGACACAGGGAAGACTCCCAGCCCTGGGTCGGAGGTAGCAAAGACAGCCACAAAGAAACCACATCACACACACAGTCAGTGGCCAGGTGCCATGTTTACCCAGGACATAAACTGGAATCCAAACTGGGATCTGCATTGAGGACCTTCAGTAATTGTCATGGAAGCCAAGTGCAGGAAATGAGAACCAGCACATTCCGTAATTTGCTAGGTCAAGGTCCTGTTGAAGGACTAACTCTGTGCGTATGCTAATGCAGCTCTTAGTAGAACCATATTTTGAGCCTGGTATCTGTCAACACAAATATCTGACCCAATTTTAAAGACATTTATATGCTAAATCCAGAGAATTCTGCTTAAACTCTAGCTCATGAGGTTAACTCTAGGTTAAGAAAAAAAACCCAATATCTAAGATCATTCAAACTCTTCTATTATTACCCAGGGATGAGTCAAAAGATGTCAGTGTATGACATACATAGTGACTCCAGGTTAGTAAACGTGAAAAACAGGCTCATCAGTATGCCATGCCCATGGACTGGCATTAGGACTAACATTCTTAGGACATCTGTTTTCCCCAAGACATCCATTCTTCCCTAGGTCTATAGGAAGCTAAATCCAAGCAGACGTTAGTTTTTGCAGAAACTGACCAGCTGACTTTAAAATTAGGGGATGCAAAATGTCCAGAAGAGCTAGCATTACCTTACAGGTGAGGCAGGAGCACAAAGTCAGAGGGCTTGCCCTGCACCTGAACTTTATGGATCTCTCAATAGAAAGTGTGCCATAATAAAACCGTGACTCAATCTATCATTTAAAAAATGCCAATTTACTAATTACTTATAGTACATGCATATATTACACCAAATAATACAACTATATTTCCACTAAAACACTAGAGACACAGTTTTTCTTGAAGTGTAATCTAGGGACCACTTCAATCAGCACCGCCCTTGAGGAGTTTCTTTAAAATGCTGACATGCGGATTCCCCTCAGACAGGAGAGATGGAGGTGGGCTCCAGGGATTTCTATGTTTAACAAGCTTCCCATACTGACCCTGGTATACTCTAAAAATTTTACTTAATCTATATTGTGTGTTTTTCCACTTCCATTTAGTCCCCTTATACTCCCTCCCCCCCAGCAATCACCACGCTGTTGCCCATGTCCAAAGCTATCCCTCTAGAGTGTACTGGATTTTCCCCTGGATGGCAGTGGCCTCTTCCTACGCTCATTTAAACAGATGCTCTCTTCACACACTGTTGATATCAATAAAGAAGACCTACCTTCTCTGGTGGATGGTTAGCTATGAGGTCTGTAGCTCTTTGAGTAAAAATGTTTGTTGAATACATCTTTTCATATCCTGTTGCAACTTCCTCGCCATCTCGAAAATCAAGAGCACATCGTGTGACATTTAGAGCGTTGATAAATGTGCAGCGCTCGTGGGAATAGTAATCTTCACTGCCTAGGAGATAGCCTGCAACGAGAATGGGAGGTGAGAGCAGTCAGCATGGCATAAAACTTGTTAAACAAACTCATGTTTCAGCATTTAATTGCCTAATGCAATTGATTACCCATGACAAGGCTAATCAGATGACAAGGTTAATCAGAGCACCACTTCTTAATGTCTCTATATTTGCTAGCAGATGCCATTGAAGTGTTATTGTTAAAAAAAAAAAATCAAATCCACTCCTCACCTCAGTCTTCAGCACATAAGCTCTGGGACAGAACTCTCAAAGTGTGTGATTTCAAGTAAATACATTTTTTAAAAACCAGGGTTCAAATTTAGTAAAACTGATACATCTTAATCTTAAAGCTAAAATGGCATGTGGTTAATGTGATTTGTTACAAGTTTTTATTCTGAGGTGATTACATAAATGAATGCAGGAATCAAACCCTGTTTATATTGACCTTGGGAGACTGCCTTCAAGGTTATTTACGGAAGTGCTTCTAGGAAGAGTCATCTTTAGTCAGATGCTGACACCCACTGGTGAAAGATACAAACCTTTCCAGACAGACGATTTCTAGGCATAACAGAACCAAATGATCAAACTAACACGCAACACAAAGATTAGATTTTTCTGCCTAGGGTGATCTCAATTTCACCCCAAATTTAAATGGAATTAACTGCCTATTCCACAATTTAGACCTAACCATGGTAGGAAATGGGTTTTCTCAACAAACAGTTGTTTCTGCAAATGTTACATATTTTCCTAAAATATTAAAATAAGCTGTGCTGCATATTATATAATTCTATGTATATGAAATGTCCAGAACAGGCAAATCTACTTGAGACAAAAAGTAGGTTAGTAGTTGCCCAGGGCTGGCAAATAGGGAGTGACTGCTAAGGGGGCGGGGTTTCTGTTGGGGCGTGACGGCAATGCCCTACAATTGTGATGAGGCGGCACAACCCTGTGAGTGCATTAAAATCACTGAGTTGTCCACTTTCATTGCATGAATGGTATGGCATGTGATTACACCTTGATAAAGCTATTAAAAAGAAACAAGCTGTGCTGGGCTCTGAGCTATCTCCTGACAAACTCTACTTATTAACCTTAAAATGAGGATGATAAAACTGGCCCAGCCCTTCCCCCAGTTTGAATGTCCTATACTCACAATGAAAAGCGTTACACAGTTTACACAATAAATCAATTCACTTTTAATTAATTTCTCCCTTTTCCAAGATTCACTGAATTCAAAGTTCTTAAGACCAATGAATACCTTGGTCTTAAGATAACATTTTAAATGGTAATTTTTCTCCTACGTATATAACAGAAAGGGAAATCCAATGTGTTTGCTAACTGATATGCACTAAAGAAAGAAATGTATCCACAAAAATAATGTCAGCTCTTACATAGGTACTTCGAAGGGTCATGACACGGGAGTTCCATTTGGGGATTTTACTAAAGACTGGGTATTAGGGCCTGAGAAAATCACATCTGGTTAGTTATCTGTATATCTAAACTGTTTTTTTATCATTTAGGAGAAAATATGCAAAGGATATACCTAATTGAAAGAGGTATGAACTACAAATACTAAAAAGAGATTACAGACGGGAGGATTCCAGAAACAGCACTCTTTATTCACACACTCTACCACACTGATACCAAGTATCCACCTGATTGTCACACAGAGTGTTTCTCATAGCAGTGATTCATGAATGTGGACTTCCACGCTGAGCCTAAAGAAAATGGCACCCTAAAGAAAATTGCGGAAAAATGAGAAGATACTTTTTGAACAGCTAAATCTCTGACTGCTCTATTTAACAGCATTATTGAGCTATAATTCACATACCATACAAGTCTCCCGTTTAGAGTGTACAATTTAATCATTGTAGTGTATTCAAAGAGGTCTGCAAGCAGCCCCACAATCATCTGCCTGCTTTTTAACAGAACATCCAAGGCCTAACAGTGACAGCAGCTGCATGTCACTGCACCTTCCTTATGTGCAAGTCTCTGCTCTGTGTGAAGGCGAGGTATCTGTCTGTTCATCTAAGCCCTGGTCAGGCTTCATAATATTCATGAAAGGACAGCATTTCTATGTCCTGTCCAATTGAATTTTTAAATATACCAGGTCTGTCCAGGAGGTATCCAGCCATGTGACATAAAAAATAGGAGGTATTTATTGAAGAAAATACAAGAAACATTGTACATGGGACAATGACGTTTCAGTCCCCTTCAAAGTAGACACCTTGGGACCTCACACAGTTCTCCCAATTGCCATCGGCTGCCCAGTCATATTTTCCTGAATCTCGTTGATGGTCTGAAATCTCTTCCCTTTCAAAGGTGATTTTAGTTTTGGGAAAAGCCAGAAGTTGCAGGGCACCAAGTCTGGGGTATAGGGGAGCTGAATCACCTGGGTGATTTGATATTTCACCAAAAAACTCTGCATGAGACGTGATGCACGAGCAGGCATGTTGTCATGATGAAGCGGCCCGTCACCAGTTACCCACCGCTCGGCCTTCTGAATCATCTGAGTAGTTTCTGTGGAGGAATGTTCAAACTTAAAGCAAAAGCTGATGCAAATTTGTTGCTCTACTCGCTCAGTCATTTTGAATGTGACAGCCACACAGTACACATGCTCACTCAGTAGCATCTGCCACCCCACTGACTAGAACAATGAAGTCATCATTGATCACACATGCACGTTCCAGTGCACTCTCCTTGGCTGCCAGGTTACTTCGATGATGTGCAAATGGTTCTTGTCACATTAATAATGGCTGAAAATTTTCCAGACAGATCTCATATAACTTGGCTTTTAGTACAAAATTTTCAAATAAATATCCATAGTTTTTCCTCTTCCATACTATAGGTACCAACCTATATTTTAGCAAAGACCTCATTTCAAAGGATGTACGTACTTTTTTCTTTTAGAATTTCCAAAAATAACAGTGGTCTTACATCCAAGCCTGATTTTTAGTAGCTATGTAAGGATACACAGGATATATTCAGGGTGATCAAGAGAGGCCCTGGCTGGGTAGCTCAGTTGGTTAGAATGTCGTCCTGATACACCAAGGTTATGGGTTCAATCCCAGTCAGGAGACATAGGGGGAAAAAACCAATGAATGCATAAAGTGGAACAACAAATCCATGCTTCTCTCTTGTTCTTTAAAATCAACAAATAAAAAAATTTAAAGAGAGAGAAAGCCATGATTGATTAGTGAAGTCTACCAGAGAACCTGGATGGAGCAGGGCACACCAGGTCTCATGTCTGATGTCCTCGCATCTCAACTTGAACCCTGGATCCAACGAGTGCTACACAGCTATGTGCTCTGCCTGCAGGGTCTGGGCCCCGTGGAATCACTTTCACTGAGACGCACTTTGGCGCTCTGGCTCTGGCTTGAATAAAAGAAAATGTCTCAAGGAACATCTGTAAGAAAACCATAATTTTATTACTAAAATGATGTCTTTCAGGATACTCTCCACCCTACCTTCTCCCAAAGGAGGAATTTTTCTCAGGTCTAAGAGCCAGAAAATGCTTTACTCTTCCTGAACATCTGGTTTCCATCTATCTTATAAATAATGTGACTCCTATAGACTGACCCTTTTTTTCTTTTGTTTTGGACACAAAAAAATCTCAAGTCTCAGAGCTGAGTGTGAAGCCCGCCTACAGCTATGCAGTGGGTTTTTAAATTTGGTGTCAAGCAACCCTTCCATCTTTTTTCTAGTCATCTTCCTTTTTAAATTGCATTTATTTGTAAATGTTTTATGCTGAATATGTATTCCTTTTTGAATATGGCAAGTTGAAAATTAAGATATAACAAGGGAGGTAGGTAGCAAAATAGTGAGACAGAAAGTGCAACATGAAAAAGAACTTATAAAGATATATAGCCGCTGTCAAAACAAATAGGTTGTTAATTAAGATACAGCTCATAACAGGCTTACGGAAGGCACATTTTAAAACAGACGTGAGGCCCATCCGCTGTGGCCACCACTGGGGAGCAGCTGCTGTGGCTCTCTGCTACCCCATGGCCTGGGCCCCAACAAGGGCCACAAAGTGACACAGAACGTGAGCAAGCCAAGGCACAGCCACTGCCGCCAGGCACCTCACAAGCATGCCAAGTTCATGTGGGACATGATCCAAGAGGTGTGTGGCTTTGTCCCCTATAAGCAGCGCACCATGGAGCCACTCAAGGTCCCTAAGGACAAGAGGGCTCTGAAATTCATCAAGAAAAGGGTGGGGACGCACATCCAGGCCGAGAGGAAGAAAGAGGAGCTGAGCAATGTCCTTGCAGCCATGAGGAAGGCAGCAGCCGAGAAGGACTGAGCCCCATGTTCTCTGCGTAATAAAACCTGCTCAGAAAAAATAACATAACATAACATAAAACAAATGTTAGGTTTTACGTTAGCTTCTACAGGGCTATCAAGTCCATAAAACACTTATAATTTTTTATTATCCTTCATATTACCTTTTGTACTTTCCCTCTTATTTCATTTCTTAGATATATCTTCCCCAATCTAGTGATTTCAAAAATAGATCTCAGAGAAGGGGAGAAAAATGCCAATGGAAAGGAGTCTTCTCTACCATCTTTACACAAAGACAAAACAAAACTTTGGAGCATAGCTCATGGAGAGACAGAAACATTCCACACCTTTGTGAAGGAAATATTCTTGTATTGAGTAGAATTATTTTCACAACTCATTCTCTATCCCCTTTTGGTAACAAGGCCCTTCAAGAGCACAATGGTCTCAGAGGTAAGCATACACATCTCCCAAAGGCCCCACGGCGGCGTGTAGCCCCTGGCAAAGGTAACTGCTTCCTGCGGGGTCCTGACCACCACAAGCCCTGCTTATGGAGGCGGCGTCGGACAGTGGCCCCATGGTGCTGCTGACTCACTCTGTGTTACACTATCTCATTTGATGACACTTGAGTGTGTTTTACGAGACGGCTGCCATCAATCTGAGTTGTTAAAGGAACACGTGCATTTCCATTACCAAAGTAGGTATCAAATCCTCGGCGGGTTGGAAGGCATTCTTTCCGGTACATGCCCAGGTGCCATTTTCCGACCATGTGGGTGGTGTAGCCTGCCTCTTTCAGGAGCTGGGGCAGGAGTTTCTCATCCAGAGGAACGCAGTTGGGCTGACAGGCCCAGATTATTTCATGCTGTAAACCTGTGCGGATCTTAAAAAGATAAACATAAAATTACAAATTATGATGTTGAAACATACGGAATGAGCAGATAAAGTAGCAGCCCAATTTATTGGACATATGGGTAGTTCAGGAATGTTTAACTCTATTCCTGTACTGGCTTAAGGCTATTTTTGAAAGGCACTTTACTCACTTATTCAAATAAGTTTGTGGACATAAACAGGATTTGGAAAAAAAAGAATTAAAGCACTCTAACAGACATCAGATATCACCAAGAAATATTTACTAAGACGCTATGTTAGAAGCCCTTAACTTAAGTTTCCATTTCCTGCTTCAAAAAAGTATCATCATAAGAGGTGTGGATGTATCAAGAGAAAAGTATCCCAATTTCTGTGCACATGAGAAGTCAGTGTTTGAGTAAAAGGAGCTGCTACAGAAACATATAAATTTCTAAAGCTGAATCAAAAAGAAACAGAGAATCTGAACAAACCAATTACAACCAATGAAATCAAAGCAATACTCAAAAAACTCCAACAAAGTCAGGGACCAGATAGTTTCCCAGGCGAATTGTACTAAACACTCACAGAACACTTAACACCCATCTCAAACTATTCCAAAAAACTCAGGAGGAGAATAGACTCCCAAGCTCATTTTAGGAAGCCAAAGTCATCCTAATGCTAAAACCAGATAAAGACATGACAAAGAAGGAAAATTATAGGCCAATATCACTGATGAACATAGATGCAAACATCCTCAACAAAATACTAGCAAACCAAATTCAGCTATACATTAAAAAAATCATACACCACAATCAAGTGGGATTTATCCCTGGGATGCAATGTTGGTACAATATCTGCAAATCAATTAACATAATATATCACATAAACAAAATGAAGGATAAAAATTATATAGTTCTATCAATACACATAGAAAAAGCATTTGACAAAAATCCAGTACCCATTTACAAAATCTCTCAGCAAAGTGGGAATAGAGGGAACATACCTCAACATGATAAAGGCCACATATGACAAACCCACAGCTAACATGATAATCAACAGGGAAAAACTAAGCGTTTTCATGAAAACCAGAAACAAGACAAGAATGTCCATTTTTACCACTTTTATTCAACATAGTACTGGAATTTGTATCCACAGCGATCAAACAAGTAGAAGGAAAAAAAGCATCCAAATTGAAAAGGAGGAAATAAAACTGTCATTATTTGAAGATGACATGATACTATAGCGAGAACTACTAGAATTGATAAATGAATTCAGTAAAGTAGCAAGATACAAAATAAATATTCAGAAATCAGTTGCACTTTAATAAATCAATAATGAACTATTAGAAAGGGAAACTAACAAAGATAATCCCATTTACAATTGTATAAAAATAATAAAATACCTAGGAATAAATTTAACTAAGGAGATAAAAGACCTGTACTAAAAATAATTATAAGACACTGAAGAAAAAAACTGAAGAAGATATAAATACATCAAAGCATGTACCATGCACATGAATGGGAAGAACTAACGTCACTGGAATGTCGATACTACCCAAAGCAATCTATAGATGCAACTCAATTCCTACCAAAATACCAAGTGTATTTCCCAGAATTAGAACAAATAATCCAAAAATTTATATGAAACCATAAAGGACTCCAAATAGCCAGAGCAATCTTCAGAAAGAACAAAGTTGGAGGTATCACACTACCTGACCGAAAACTATACTACAAGGCTGTAATAATCAGAACAGTATGGCTCTGGCATAAAAAGAAAGACAGATCAATGTAACAGAATAAAGAGCTTAGAAATAAACCAACACCAATTAATGTTTGACAAATGAGGCAAGAATATAAAAAGGGGTAAATACAGTCTATTCAATAAATAGTGTTGAGAAAATGGGGAAGATACATGAAAAAGAATGAAACTAGACCAACTTCTTACATCACATACAAAAATAAACTCAAAATGGATTAAAGACAAATGTAAGACTCAAACCATAAAACTTCTAGAAAAAAACATAGGCAGTAAAATCTTTGACATTTCACTTAACAATATTTTTTCTAATATATTTGAGCAAGGGAAACAAAAGAAAAAATAAACAAATGGGACTACATCAAATTAAAAAGCTTTTGCCACAGCAAAGGAAACCATCAACAAAATGAAAAGACAACCTACTGAAGGGAAGAATATATTCACCGATGATACATTTGATAAGGAGTGAATAGCCAGAATTTATGAAAAACTCATACAACTCAACACCAAAAAAACAAACAATCCAATTTAAAAATGGGCTGAGGACTTGTACAGACATTTCTCCAAAAAGGACATTCGGATGGCCAACAGACATATGAAAAGATGCTCAATGTCACTAATCATCAGAAAAATGCAAATTAAAACCACAATGAGATATCACCTCACATCTGCCATCAATAAATCAACAAACAGCAAGCACTGACGATGTGGAGAAGAGGGAATCCTTGTGCACTGTTGGTGGGAATGCAGCCTGGTGCAGCCACTACAGAACACAGTATGGAGATTCCTCAAAAAATTAAAAATGGGGAGACTTCTGGCCAACATGGAGGCATAGGTAGATACACTGTGCCTCCTCACACAACCAAAATGATGACAACAACAAATTTTAAAAGAAAAAACAGCCAGAACTGACAGAAATTTAAACTGTATGGAAGCCTGACAACCAAGGAGTTAAAGAAGAAACACTCATCCAGACCAACAGGAGGGGTGGACATGGGCAGCTGGGACAGAGAAGACTTATGGGAAGGCAGCAGCTGGAGCACCAGGTGAGGTGGCAGCTGGTGGACCTGGCAGTCCCACATCTGCATACAGATAAACCAGGAGGAACAACTGGGGAGTGAGACAGACCTTAAAACCCAGGGTTCCAGCTTGGGAAAATAAAGACTCAAACCTCTGATTGAAAACACCTGTGGGGGTTGAGGCAGCAGAAGAAACTCCAAGCCACACAGGAGAGTTTGTTGGAGAGACACACAGGGTCCTAGAACGTACACAAACCCACCCACACAGGAATCAGCACCAGAAGGGCTCACTTTGCTTGTGGGTAGCAGAGAAAGTGACCGAAAGCTGGCAGAGAGCTAAGCAAGCAGCATTGATCCCTCTCAGACCCTTCCCCCACATATAGTGCCACCACCCAGCCACATAGGTTGCCCCACCCCTTACTATGTAACAGGCACCCGAGACAAAAAAAAAAAATAGCCAAAATAAAAGAACAGATAAAACTTCAGAAAAAAATACAACTAAGCAATGAAGCGATAGCCAACCTATCAGATGCAGAGTTCAAAACACTGGTAATCAGGATGCTCACAGAAATGGCTGAGTGTGGTTGCAAAATAAAGGAAAGAATGAAGGCTATGCAAAGTGAATTTAAGGAAAATGCACAGGGAACCAACAGTGAAGGGAAGGCAACTGGGACTCACATCGACAGTTTGGAGCAGATGAAAGAAATAAACATTCACTTGGAACAGAATGAAGAAACAAGAATTCAAAAAAGTGAGGAGAGGCTTAGGAACCTCCAGGACATCTTTCGATGTTCCAACATCTAAATCATAGGGATGCCAGAAGGAGAAGAGGAAGAACAAGAAATGGAAAACTTATTTGAAAAAATAATGAAGGAGAACTTCCCTAATTTGGCAAAGGAAATAGACTTCCAGGAAGTCTACGAAGCCCAGAGAGTCCCAAAGAAGTTGGACCCAAGGAGGAACACAGCAAGACGCATCATAATTATATTACCCAAGATGAAAGATAAGGAGAGAATCCTGGAAGCAGCAAGAGATAAAAAGACAGTTACCTATAAAGGAGTTCCCATAAGACCATCTGCTGATTTCCCCAAAGAAACCTTGCAGGCAAGAAGGGGCTAGAAAGAAGTATTCAAGCCATGAAAGGCAAGGACCTACATCCAAGATGACTAACCAGCAAAGCTATTATTTAGAATGGAAGGGCAGATAAAGTGCTTCCCAGATAAGGTCAAGTTAAAGGAGTTCATCATCACCAAGGCTGTATTATATGAAATATTAAAGGGATTTATCTAAAAAAAAAGATAAAAACTATGAACATTAAAATGACAACAAACTCACAACTATCAACAACTGAACCTAAAAAAAACCCAAAACCAACTAAGCAAATAACTAAAACAGGAACAGAATCAGAGAAATGGATATCACATGGAGGGTTATCAGTGGGGAGGGGGGAGGGGAATGGGGGAAAGTGGGGAAAAAGTACAGGGAATAAGAAGAAAAAATGGTAGGTACAAAATAGACAGGGGGAGGTTAAGGATAGTATGGGAAATGGAGAAGCCAAAGAACTTATATGTACGACCCATGGACACGAACTAAGGTGGATGGGAAGATGGGTAGGAGGGGAATGCAGGGCGGAGGGGAATGAAGGGAAAAAATGGGACACCTATAACAGCATAATCAATAAAATATATTTTAAAAAATAAAAAATGAAACTGCCTTATGACCCAGTGATTTCAGTTATTGGTATGCTCTATATCCAAAGAAACCGGGAACACTAATTTGAAAGAACACCATGTTCACTACAGCACTATTTACAACGGCCAAGGCAGGAAAGCAGCGCACGTGCCTCTCAATGGACGAGTGGGTAAAAAAGTGGTGGCACACGTACACAATGGAACATTACTCAACCATGAAAAGAATGAGATCTTACTGCATGAAAACATGAGTGGACCCAGAGGGAATTATGCTGAGTGAAAGAAGCCGGTCAGAAAAGAAAAATGCCATATGATCTCACTTACATATGGAATCTGAAGGACAAAATAAACATACAAAACTGAAGCAGACTCAGATACTGAGAACAGGATGATGGCTGCCACAGGGAAGAGGGGTTGGGAGACAGGGTGAAAGAGAGGTGAAGGGATTCAGAAGTAGGGACTGACAGTTAGAGAAGAGTCACAGGGGTTAGAAGTACAGCACAGGGAATACAGGCAATAATGTTGTAATAACTGTGCATGGTGCCAGGGGAAAGTGGAAATACTGGGGG